ACGTTGGTGGGGCGCAGCAGGCCCGGGCGCTACAGCCACATCCTGGACGACCTGTACAAGATGAACGTGCTGCCCGCAACTGCCCGGCGCAGCCGGATCGGCGTGCTGTACGCCCCACAGCCCGATGGCACCGCCGACATGCACATCATCATCAACGGAGAGGACATGGGGCCGAGCGCCAGGCGCCTGCCCACCACCCGCCCGCTCTACGCCGTGGTTGATGTCTTCGCCTCCACCAAGAGCGTCCGGGTCATCCCAGTGGAATATGGCTGTAGGTACCTGCCGCCTCCCTGGGGCACATCATGCACAGGCCAGGAGCTTGCGGGGGGAGGGTGGGCTCCAGTGGGGTCACCTCATAGTCCCCAACAGTGGGAGCATCAGAGCACACCACAGGACAGAGGGACAGGGGGTAGAGAGCACAGGAGAGCCCCCGGCCCCTGCACAGCGCAGGTGGGACCCCACACTGCCACTGACGGGTGGTGTCTCCCAAAACCTTTGCTGTGGCGGATGGGGAAGAGCCCAGCCTGGTCGCCCTTCCTGAGCGGAGAGATGGGGGTGGGTGTTCTGGGCTGCCCTGAACCCAGGACTGTGGAGCTGTGTCCCTGCAGCACCACGCTCATCCCCAGCCAGATGGACACCCCTGACCGGAGCCCAGTGCTGGCTGTCACAGAGCTGTGTCACGGGGGCTGACGAGCCCTCGCCATGCCCAGCCTTGTCCCACGGGCCCGAGGCAGCCCGGAGCCAAGCAACATCCTGCCCTGGCATCAAAACATCCGGCTGCGCCCCACTGCTCACCCTGGCCCACATGCCATCGTCCCGTGCCTGCCGCATGCCCCTGCTGCGGGGTGCCCTGGGCAGACACCCCGTGATGCCATCGGAGATTGGGCAATATCCAGCATCCCTCAACTGGCTGGGGAGGAGGCGGGAAGGCCAGTGCTGGTTGCTGGGTCTTGTGAGGAGTCAGGCTAATAAGTGCTAATTAGCACCATACTTGAAAAATCAGGAGATGCTGAGAATTAGGTGAGACAAGAGGCAGAAGAGGAGCTAGCGCCTGGGTGCTGCCTGCCCCCCCCTGCCGGGAGCCACCGCTTCTTTTGCTGGTGCAAAGTTCAGCTGCTTCTGTCTCAAGGCTGAAATCCAGGATTCTCCCTGCCAGCTACTGTGAGCTGGGTTATCCAAACAGGGAGGTTAAAGGTGCCCAGCCACCCAGGACCCCCTGTCCCAGCAGCGTGCTGAGGGTGACCAGCCAGAACATGCTGCAGGAGGCCACAGAACTGCCTCGGAGGGCCTGTCCCCTGCCGCTCCGTGAGGAACTCGCGCTGGCAGCACGTACCTGTGGGAAAGTTGCCCCCTCCTGCCGTGGCCACGGGCTGTGGGCCTCCATAAACGCCATGGCTGGCACAGGCACCGCTCCAGAGGTGCAATCTGGCTTCTCCCCTCCACTAAGACTTCAGTAGCTCTGGTTTCCGCAACACTTCCGCAGGGTTGAAAACTCAGTCTCAGTTCTGTTCCTGGCTGGGGTCTGGCCAGTAAAGTGAAAACCAGAAGCGAGCAGCTGAGCTGCTGGTGACACGTGACATGGCGTGGGGGGCTGGGGACAGTAGAGGCAAAGGGTATCTGCTGCCCATCACCCAGCACTCGGCACAACGAAGGCCCACGCCGCCGAGGCAGAGATAAGCATTCCAGCCATCCGAAAACAGCCCAAGGTCGGGAGCTGGCTGGGCACGGCGTGGTTGTTCTCAGCAGATTGTTCTCCCTGCTCTGCCAGATGCCGGTGTGAGCCCCCAGAGGCACCGGCCCCGCAGCTGGAGAGGTGCTCAGCCGTGTGCGGGCAAAATGGCGGGGTCTCACCCGCAGCTCCGCTCCGGACGAACGCAACGCCCTGGGGTGCTCTCCTCCGGTTTGGCTCTTGGAGGCAGCGGATGAACCAAGGCCCACAAGGGCCAACCGAGGCTTGAGTCAGCTCTCTTAAAATCTGGGGAGAGTGCTGGCCGCAGCTGATTGCAACCACACTGCTGAGCCACCAAGGGCTCCGGAAAGAGGGATCCCACAGGGGCACGTGTCACAGGAGCAAGAACCGGGCAGAGCCTGTGCGGGCAGCCATGGGAACGGCTCAGAAGATGGTTGTCTCAAAGGCATCGCGGGAGCTGCCTCCGCAGGCGGCACAGCCCCGGCCCACAGGCGCCCATCCAGCAGTCTGGCACCGGCACCAGTGGAAGCAGACCAAGGGAGCGGGATCAAGGGAGAGCACACAACGGGCATGGGAGACCCCGGGGAGCTGCTCCACAGCTCCCAGAGAAAACAAATGCAAACCAGCCATGGTAACGCACAGCTTGGGTACATAACTGTCCTCCCAACCTTCCTCCCAGTAATGGAAGAGCTTCACTGCCCTGGGCCCTTGGGATCCCATCCCAGCCGGAGCAGCTGGCTCAAGCCTGGGGCAGGACGATGCCTGCTCCTGCCGCAGAGCAAGCTCACCCACTGCAGTCCTAAAACATGGTGCCCCCGGGGAGCCTTGGGGCCCGACTCCTCCACACCCCTCTGTTCTCAGCCTCACTGGCAACTTGGCCAGCTCAGCTGCTTCTTTCTGTTCTTTTCCAGTTCCCTCCCTGCAGACCCTCTGCCGGCTGGTCATCCAGAAGCACATCGTCCACCGCCTGGCCATCGACG